AAACTTAAGCCGAATGTAGCACTTAGCTATTTTTTCGAAAAAATTCCGATCTATTCATCTTCAATCATGACAGTACAATGAATACCAGAAATAATAAAAATTACATCAAATCCGTAGACCAACTAGCGACGACTACCGGCACTGAAGCGAGTCGAAGGTGCGCCGCCGTCATCGCCCCCTTCATCGCCGGAGTCAGGCACAACTTGTTGTAGTTGGAAGTCGTCGTGCTAAGGCCCCGAAAGACCAGCGCACCAGAACAGCAACCGCCGCATATGATTAGCTTACAAAGGTGTCATGTGGCACCACGTTAGCGTTGGCTGGCCGTCAGGTCGCTTTATTTTGCCGAGATCCGCGGATTGATTTCAGCTTATAGGTAAACCGAGTGCCCGTGAAGTGGATCTCGGCTTATGGTCTAAAGACGATCTGGTATAAGACGAGTGGCATAAGCCGGGTGCAGCACTCGGCTTACAGTGTCAAGGTTTAAATGGTCTTCGCCGAATAAGTTTCATTCGTTTTTATTTAATTTTTCTGTAGTGAACCGAGGGGAGAGGATGCCATAGTTGTCGTGACGTCTGATCCACACGCTTGCAGCCATCTAATGGGTGATGCAAGTAAGTATGTTAGCAACCTACCTGGCGAAGGCACTCCACAGCCAGAAGGGGGCAACGCCAGAACAACAGGTCGAGACATGAGCGAAGGCCCAACCATGATTTCAGTGGGCCGCAGTGGATCTCCTACATGTTGGGGGCAATGAAGAGTAAGGGCATCTCCAGCCGTTGGCCCCCCAGGACGCACAAAAAACGCCCCCTGGGGGCGAGCCGGCGATACACTCGGCGCTGGGGCGGTTTTTCGCCCAGTCGTCGCCCCCAGCTCGCCCCCAGACGCCGAAATTGGCCCACTTTGCAGCCCAATTTCGGCGAATAAACGGCCCATATGGGCGAGAATAGGCCCATATTCGACGTGGTTTCGCCGTGTCTCGGCGTTCAATTATCAACATAATTATTCCTTATCACATATTTCATCACAGAAAAATCAAATACTTCAACACAATAGTACAACAACAAATAGTTCAATACAATTATATAGTTCAACAAATAAAAACTCGTATTTCATCACGCGGCGTCCCCCTTGAGCCTCCATATGTGCTCAATCAGATCTTTCTGCAGTTGATGATGCACCTGTGGGTCTCGGATCTCTTGACGCATACTGAGACAGGCAGTCCAAGTTGCCGGTAGCTGGTGATCAACTTCGGCTAGAGGACCCTGCCTGTAGTATGGTTCAGTGTCAAACACTGGGTCTTCTTGCTCGCTCTCGATGATCATGTTGTGCAAGATGACACAGCAAGTCATGATCTCCCACATTTGATCTTTCGACCAGGTCTGAGCGGGGTACCGAACAACAGCGAATCGAGATTGGGGCACACCAAATGCCCGCTCGACATCCTTTCTGCAAGCCTCCTGAAGCTTCGCAAACCAGGCGTTCTTGCCTCCTGGCACAGGGTTTGAGATCGTCTTCACAAATGTCGACCATCTCGGATAGATGCCGTCAGCTAGATAGTACCCCTTGTTGTATTGGTGCCCATTGATCTTGAAGTTCACCGGAGGAGAATGACCCTCAACGAGCTTGGCAAAAACAGGAGAGCACTGCAGCACGTTGATGTCATTGTGAGTTCCTGGCATACCAAAGAAGGAGTGCCAAATCCAGAGGTCCTGTGTGGCTACCGCCTCAAGCACCACACTGCAACTGCCTTTGGCGCCTTTGTACATCCCCTGCCAACCAAATGGGCAGTTCTTCCATTTCCAATGCATGCAGTCGATACTTCCAAGCATCCCAGGAAATCCTCTTGCTGCATTCTGGGCTAGGATCCGAGCGGTGTCTTCCGCATTGGGTGCTCTCAAGTATTGTGGCCCAAACACTGCCACCACTGCCCGACAGAACTTGTAGAAACACTCTATGCTGGTGGACTCGTTCATGCGCCCATAGTCGTCGAGTGAATCACTGGGAGCTCCATATGCAAGCATCCTCATCGCTGTCGTGCACTTCTGGATGGAGGTGAATCCAAGAGCGCCAGTGCAATCCATCTTGCACTTGAAGTAGTTGTCGAACTCCCGGATGGAATTCACAATCCTGAGGAAGAGCCTTTCGGCTCATCCGATAACGGCGCCGAAATGTTCTCTCGCCATGAAGTGGAGCATCGGCGAAGTAGTCGGAGTAGAGCATGCGGTAGCCTGCAGTCGATGCCGGTTCTTTGCTTTCACCCGCCCCGGCGCCGAGCCACCTCTACGCGGCTTTTCATTGCTCGCCAGCAGCTGGGCAAGGGCGGCGAGCACCATCAGATGCTCTTCTTCCTGTACGTCGGCCGCGGCTTTCTCCTCCAGCAGCGCGGCGAGCTCTTCCTCCTCATCGGAGTCCATCGCCGAGTCAGTCAAAACGCCGAACACCTTGCGCTCGGTGGGCGTTTACCCGCCGTTAAACCGCGCCTCCGCGGCCGGAAACGGCGGCCAGCAGCGCCCCGTGCCGCGGGAGGGGCTGCCGCGGCGAAGCACTGCTATTTTCCGGTGGGGAATGGCTATCTAGCGGAGTAGGCCGGCGCCCGTCGCCGGGATACAGCTGGTGGTGGCCGAGGGCGCGGGGGGTGCGAGGCGAGTCGGGGAAGAAAAACTTGACTTTTCCCCTGTCGGTGTGGGCCAGGCGTGCTTTTCCCTAGCGCCGGAGCCCCCAACGGCTCCCCAGCGCGCCGGGTTCGGCCTGTGACCGCCGGGCGGAAAAAGGGTCCGAACCGGCGATTTTCGGCGTCCTGGGGGCGCGACTGGGCCGTTTTTTGGCGCCGGCGCGAAAAAATCGCCTGGGGAGGCCTTCTTGGGGGCGCGGCTGGAGATGCCCTAAGTAGCATAGTGGTATAAGCGTATGAGGGGTTGGTATGTGTGGTTCTATCCTGGGTTGGATCAGCACGGCCGGCGGCTTGCAACATTTATCCTCTTCCTCCCTTGCCGTCTACATGGGATAGACACGGCAACTTGAGGGACCTTGCACTCCCTATCGTTTTGGTGGAGCAACATGTTAAGAAGCAACATCCCCAGAAAAATGGCCATGGCATGCATCACCATGCTAGTTTTCTTCTAACACAGTACAGACGGAGATGGTCATACATACGCACATAAGCTCATTCCTAAAAACAAAAGCATGCACACTCTACCCTTATGAGAACCTCCGAGAGACTGAGCCGACACATCGTCTTGAGATTAATTATTAGACCAATATGTCACGTATCGTGACATATCTCATAATCCCCTAAATTGAGGAGAGTCGTCATTATTGTGATCTTCCATTTATGGTTAGGATTGTAATATTTGTCTATACATTAACACGCAATGGAAAAGCTCAAGTGTGGCAAATTCCCTTAATCGCTCCTATGGTATCGGAGCCTAGCGATCATCGTGCTTCCGCACCCACCTCCCACCGCTGCCGCCTCCTTCTTTCCCTAATCGCTTCTATTGATGAAGTCGCCACAGACATGTTCGTAGTACAAGAACATCTCTGCCCACAAACGCACATGGCCAAAAGGCCTTAAATAAATCAAGAGAAATGTCAGCACCAGGAATGCACATCTGGTGGACGGGATACCACTGTCCTCCTAACGATCTAATCGCAGTTTGGTTCGTCTTCATCATGCTAGTTGGTTGGACCATTTGAAATTAGAGAAACGCTCGTGTTTTCAAACACAAATCCACACCAACACAGGTTATGTCCAGCATCATCAAAAGGGAAGGTTGACTTTGGTTATTGTGGGTGCAAAAAAATAGGGGTACTAACATAATACTGGGAGAGCAATGACCCCTTTTGTATTTGGGGTGATGTGTAACAATTTTTGTTATCTTTTTTAATTAATGAATGAGGCAAAGCTTATGCCTTCATTTTGATTTTTTTTTAATTTGTGCATTGATATATAGCCGTAAATTCCGAACCAAACATAATAGCGTCTTCACAAAAATTGACCATGCATTCACACGAAATTCCAGACATGCAACTATCCAGATTTATTCGAGTTTAATTAGGTACAAGTACATCACGAGATGGTATTACCGTCTACATAAGGTGGTGCGTGACAGTAGATTAATCATAGACATCTTCATAGTCGACACAAACGTCTCTGCCCACTAAACGCACATCGCCAAAAGGCCTGAAATAAATCCAGAGAAATGCCAGCACCAAGAGCGCATATCTGGTGGGATAGAGATACCACTGTCCTCCTAACTATCTAACCACGGTTCGGTTCGTCTTCACCATGCTAGTTGGTTGAACCAATTGGAACAAGAGAAACGCTCGTGTGTTCCGACACAAATCAACACCAGCACTGGTTACCTCGGGCCTGATCAAAAGGGAAGCTTGACTTTGGGTTTTTGTGGGTGCAAAGAAATAGGGGTACTAACATAATACCGGGAGAATAGTGACCCCTTTTTGTATTTGGGGTGATGTGTAATAAACCTTTTAATTAACAGTTTGTCTAATTCACATCTAGATGTTTTTAAGGCTGTCATATCTAAGCTCTCGCAAATATATAATTCATCAGCAAGAAAACAAAAAAATAGAACACAAAAATTAGACCACAAACAGAGTGGACATCAGGTTAGATGTGTCATAGCTATGTCACATCTAGATGTGTCCTAGACAGACCCTTTAACTAATGGATGAGACAAAGCTTATGCCTCCATTTTGATTATTATTTTTTACTTTGTGCATTGATATATAGGCGTAAGTTCCGAACCAAACGTAATATCATCTTCACAAAAAATTGACCATGCATTCACACGAAATTCCAAACATGCAACGATCCAAATTTATTCGAGTTTAAGTAGGTACAAGTACATCACGAGACGGTATTACCGAGTACATAAGGTGGTGCGTGACAGTAGATTAACTTGTGCTAACCAATTACATATATCGATGGATCCTCGCATGCATTGTGTCTGGGAGATGGGGCATGCTGCACGCGGATGTAATTAGGGCTGGCCACCCGCCGGTGGTCTACATCCGTAAACTGTGCGGCACCCACGGCCGGTGTAGGGTTGACCGGCACCGCCCGGCGTCGGAACAGCAGGGACGTTAGGGTCGAGAGCACCGGTGCCTGGACGGGAAACCATGGACGGACGTTATTCAGCAGGTCGAGGTCAGCATGTATAACAAGTTAATCAATTACAAAAATGGGGAGGAAATGAACGGACACCGTCCGACGACTGACCTGAGGCGGCGGCGTCGTGGACGGCCGTGGCTCCAAGGCAGACGGAGCTGTTGATGATGATCGCGGCGACGACGACGAAGAGAGCGATCTGCAGGAGCACCGTGGGACGACGGCCGCCAGCGCTGCTACCCAGGGACGCCATGGTGCGTTTCGAGCGAGGTTTCGAGAGCTAGCTGCCTGTGTACGTACGTCTGCTATCCTGCTGTGATGCTTGACGATGGAAGAAGCCCCGTGCCTATTTATAGATCGTGTGGCGTCGAGACAGATATCAAGCGTGCGTTCTCGTGTATTTCCGGTACCACCGAATTTCTACGGTTAGTCAAGGCCGGTGAGCAGTGGTGGCCATGCACAACGACCGCGCAGGAAGAGACATGCACTCGATCGACGACCCGGCGCGTGCAGCGACGACCGACGATTAGTCACTACGGCCGCGCAGGAAGAGACAGATTCGCGTCTCCATTTTTCTCCGGTTAGTCAACAAGGCCCCCACGTCGCTCTTTCTCTGTCCGGCCTACTGCTTAGTGCTTACTTATATCTACACTACATTGACTACAAGTACCCCTGAAAGAAAAATCCACACTACAAGTTAATTTAGAGCTCCAAAAGGAAAGGTTTCCTCGCTCGATATGTGTCTGTTTCTTTCTTTGTTATATAGGACCCGAATATCCAACAAACGCCAGATTATTAGGCATGGTAAAACGAATAGTTTTTCATGGTAAATTGCGTTCATCAAGGATGGCAATTTTAGTTGGCGGGCACAGGAAATCCGCCTCAATTTATTTATTTTTACCAGGAATTTGTCATGCTTGTAAAACTAAGTTTGACATCCTCGCGCAAATATAAATTGTCATGAAAGACGTTCGATTGCCATGTCAGAAAATCCGACGTCTGAATTTTAGTCTTTTGGCACTATCATTATACTCTCTGCACCCCACTCACTATCACCTCTTCCTTTTGCGCCTATATGTACGTACGTGTCCAGGAGGAGAGTTATTTAAATTCTACTGTAATTATAAGCATCCTGCTAGCTGGCCATTATTTCGGTAGATGTCACATGGCTACAATATACTCCCTCTGTTCCTAAATATCTGTCTTTCTAGACATTTCAAATGGAATACAACGTACAGATATACATAGACATAATTTAGAGTGTAGATTAACTCATTTTGCTTCGAATGTAGCCACTTGTTGAAATCTTTAGAAAGACAAATATTTGAAAACGGAGGGAGTACTATTTAGAAGTTGTAGATGCATCAATATCTCACATTGCAGTTCGGTTATCTGCAAAGGGCATGGTAGGTTCCCATTTTCCATCTACTGTGCCAGAACTTGTGTGTGGACAGACGTACATAAAGCTGGAATAACGGCAAAAAGGACCAAAGATGTTTACCATTCGAGTACAGCCAGGCCAGACATACATTGCCTCTAATTTCTTCTGATCCAAATCTGATGCACAAAAGCTAAAAAAAGGGCATTGACAAAAAGAATCAAAGATGCCACCAGAAGAGTACACTTGGTAACTTCAAAAAAAAAAAAAAGAAGAAGAGTACACTTGGTTTAACTATCACATTCACATGGCAGCAAATTCAACGTAAGCATTTTTGCGATTTTGTACTGGATCGTTACATTACTTGACCCACGACACGATTCATTCAAGAATTGTGGGAACTTGCGCGGATGGTAAGTTAACGAGTCACTGACTCAAAGTGGTAGAGATCGTAACACGATGCTATGCTCCTAGACATAGTTCAAGCTGAACTGTAAGCAAATGAACCTTATATGCGTTCTGGCGCCATCCTTCTATACCCTTTGTGAAATGGAGCCGTAGACCTTTCTGTGATGTGGTACCCTACTGGTTCCGCCTTAGCTATCTATCTATGGTGTAGTGCAGGTGAGCTTGATCACTCTGCAGTTTCGGTGATGAGCTCCTTGAGTACCTGTTTTAGGCCATTCATCTTCTTCCGGGCTCTCTGCGAACCATTTCCGTGGAAAAGGTTAGCATTTGATCAATACTGGCATCCCTGGGGTTTAGGAATGATGTTTGACTTACCTTCTGAACCTCCGAGATTTTGGTTTCGGCGTCCTTGAGCTGAGAATCAACTGTTCTCTCGGCATGTTGGAGGAGCTTCTTGTGTGATGCTCCTGTTGATGCAATCATAAAACAACACCATGGTTAAGTGGTAATCCTGGTGGCAAACGGTTAGAAAAACAGAGCATTTAAACAGATTTCTTCAAGTGGCTGTATGGTTATATATTCCATTTGCCTCTTAAAAATGATAACAGTGAGCTAAAACTATAATTACTTCACTGCTGACTATTTCTTCTAATCATGTGCCAATGTAGATTGGACGATCATTCTTTTTCAATTAAAAACCATCTGATTTAACCACATTATTCAGCAACAAACGTCAAACCTTACAATGTTGGAATCTTATGTGCCTGGGTCAGATGACATAAAGTTTGCAATCTGTAATCAAACTGCTCCAATGGTGATACTTCATAAGGCTCCGTTTTGACAAAGGTTAACATGATTCCACATTTTTGGGAGTTCATGCAGTATCAGTTTGCAATAAATAGTCCAGCAAGTAAAATATTGCATTTGCATTTTGCAAGTGTATGGTTTCAAGTTAAACTTACTTTGCTTGTCAGCTGCTCCCTTAAGTTCTGCATGATAGGCTTCAAATTCCTCAAGCGAGTTCTTGCAACCAAGCAACTGCTGATTAACCTCCTCCTTAAACTTCTCATGAAGAACCCTTAACTGTTCTTGTTGCTCTGAAACAGGAAGACATAGGACCAGGTATATCATTTGAGTAACTAACATTTATTCAAGAGAAACAACAGAAGACATGCAAGAAAACAAGGTAAAGTATAAGGATTCCCCAAAGGAATCTTGCGACAAATGTGCCTTGCTAACCAAACAGGCGACTAACCTGGTCAAACATACCTAACTTCTGGTGTGGCATGGTTAGCATACCAACCAAACAGGCTCTAAGCCTAAATATATGCATACACAGTAAAAAATCCAAAGGGTAGAAGATACTCCAAAGATGTTTTGTATTCTTCAATATGGACTAAATATGGACAGAAATGAGTGAACACACTAAAATGCATCTATACACACCCAAATCAGAAAAAAGTAGAACATCTTATAATAGTGAACGGAGGGACTAGTAAATAAGAAATAACCAAACTATAGTGGATAAGTGCAGGCAGATTCAAAGAAATGGTACATTAATTTTTCTCAAATTAATCTTTCATGGCACTGATTTTATGCTTCAGCATTCAGACGATGAAAGTGATTCAAGAACAAAATCAACCTATTTAAGCTTAGTTTTTGGGGATTCTTTATATGCATTCAACATTCGTCTTATTATGTTTTTCTAAGTTTAGGATACGCTGGACCTACATAACATACAGGAATCAGATCATGACTTTATATGTCTATACGAATACTCTACAACTTACTGAAGTATAAGATTATGTAAATTGCTCGAGCTGAATAATCCAAATAGCTGAAGTATGAGTGGCACAATGGATCAGAATACTAGTACACATCATATCTTTATAGATACAGCTTTCTGGACGGATTCTGACTAATGGGTCTAATCTTCATAAAACTCATGATTCACAATAACAGACCACAAAACTAATTTCTGCAGTCACATAATATAGGTTGTACCTTCAAATGTTGATTCTAGTCGCTTTCTTTTAGATTTTCCTGCATTGACCAGCTTATCCCTGAAAGTACAGTTGAATGTGTCAAAAATAGCTGCACCTCTAATATATGTGATACTTTTATAACAAGCCTAGATATACAACTAGGTCTGTATATGCAGATAAGATGTTGTTTCTTGGTAGCGCCGGCAAAGATCTTACACATCATCCTGCATCTGCACCTCAACTCCCTCAAGGTGCTGGCGTATTATCTCCCCAGTACCTGCCAGTATCTCAGAACTTTTGTTTCTTGTTTCAGACTTGATCTTGGTTTGAAACCTTCCCAGCACCACCAGTAACTGATCAAAAGCCCTGGTTACAATCAAGAAACAAAATTGGATCAACCAACAATATCAGATATGTATTTCTTTACACAATCTACAAAACGGACCTGGTTAGGTAGTCATCTGGGCATTGCACTGGTTCTTTGTCTGACATTATAGTTTCTTGTGTTCCTGAATGAATTAGTAATGACATATCAGTTATGAACTGCAACCGTTAGTTGAACGTAAGAAGGTAATCAACTTTACCTGAAGTGGCAAAAGGAATAGGCGAAGGTAAGCGCCGTTTTTTGCCTCTTTTACCATCTTTCATATGTGATTTCCTATCCAGATTTTCTGGAGGAGATTTATCAGGGCTGTCTACATCTGAAAGCCATTTGCGAGATTTATATCCTACACATGAAGAACCAGTTATAGATAAGTAACACTTACAGGTAAACAATTTTTGGATAAATATATGACATAGTGTAATTTATACGTCTCCAACAGCATGTGGGAAAAGCTTGGCTCACGTTATTAATTTTCCAGAACTAAAGTGTCAAAATATTAAACTTAAAACACTTAGCAAAAAACAATAATGAAACGCATTTAAAGTAGCATGAATGCACATGACAGAATATGCCACATGTTGCTTCTATTCCATTTGAATGGCTTGCATGAGCAAGCACTTCATACAATAGTTAAAGAGTGAGTGGATCATGTTTTGGAGAGCCTTAACCTTAAAGCCACAGTAGGACTATTGGATGCTCTGCCACTGATAGTGGTTGATCAATGATTGCTATGAAAAAATTGTGGAAATAGAGCTGATGCAATAAAAGTAGGACTATCAGACATAGTTAGAAAAAAAAACATGCCTAGGCTCTAGGCGATAGTAAAACACACCTAGTGGTTAATGTGTGCATAAATACGCTTTGGTTAGCAAAGCGCAAGCATGTGGCAAAATGTGCAATTAACACCTAGCATTTTTTTTAACTTTGCTATTGGATGCTCTGACTCCCAATGTTTAACTTTTTTTCAGGAAAAGGACAGGAGCTCTGCCAATAATGTTTAACTGGTAACAGATACCTAGAGAAAGTCAATTTATATGTGCAAATACATAAAGAAGAATGTGTTCTAGAAGAGTATTATCCTCGTGCAGAACAGATGG